CATTTACGTTTCCGCTCAGTGCGGGAGAAATCATTCTTATTCTTACTATAAAAAGACTTCAAACAAACATACGTCGTCAGCATACAAATTTCTGCAAGATGGATGAAACTGAAGAAACTAAATGCGATGTTTTTAAAGCAGAAAAAGAATCTGTGAATAAATCATCGCTGGATGGGAAAGAATCAACGGATACATCGAAGAAAAGTCTTCAAAGTATACGCGATCAACTTCAAAAATTACATGACAGTGATGCGAGTGCACAAGACCGTTATCAAGAATCAAATGAATTATATTCTGAACTGATCGATTATATTGCGAGAGCTACAGATGCTGATGCGAATGATATTCAAATTTGTGCGAATCTTTTTGAAGAAGTAATGCTACAGGTTCCACCTGAATCTGATTCGAAAGAAAGAATATTGTTCACACGTAAGGTTTTCTTTACATCTCTCAATTTGCTCTGTAAACCAGAAATGTACACGTATTTAAATGATAATCAACAAACAATAATAGCGCAAGCAAAATTCTATGAATTGGTGATTTGTGCGCTTTTAAGCATTGCTACCTCCATTGTTGACGAGGTTAGTTTTATTAAGACGGATACTGCTAGCCGTAAATACATTAACTTATTCTGCGCAATGTGTAAATGGGTGGAACGCAATGTGCATGAGGCGACTGCGATCTGCACTGAAGAAGTCGATGACAGTAGTTTAGCAAGTTGTATTCTATCATTTTTCTGGAATCTAACTGATTCTACAGTTGTTGTGCCATGGTTGGTCGATGCTGGTTTGCCGAAAATGGTCTTAGAATGGTTAAAAGTAGTAACACTCTCATCCGCAGCAGCTCAACAATCCTTCAGTATTATTCATAATATCTCAAGGCACGATGACGGCGCCGATGAACTCAATAAATTTGATGGACTGCATATTCTTCAGAATATTCAAAATGATTACGAAGAACAGTTGTCTGATAAAAGTGATCTTCTCATTTCTATGGCGACCGCTCATCTGTCAACAGTCGAAGAAATTCGTTCAAATAATAAACGAAAGAACAGAATTCTTAATCAACTCTTACAAATGACTATTGATGCCGCCCAAGTAAGTTTGAAATACTAAAATAAAGTCAGAGAATTAGAGTAAGGATGTATCTTCTTTTTACCCATCACTACTCTTACCCTTGCCGTTCAGCGGTNGCTCATCTGTCAACAGTCGAAGAAATTCGTTCAAATAATAAACGAAAGAACAGAATTCTTAATCAACTCTTACAAATGACTATTGATGCCGCCCAAGTAAGTTTGAAATACTAAAATAAAGTCAGAGAATTAGAGTAAGGATGTATCTTCTTTTTACCCATCACTACTCTTACCCTTGCCGTTCAGCGGTTAAAAATAGCGGTGCTATAAGCTCTTCTTATTTAGGAGGATGATTATCGTGAGGGCGATGGCTTTCATGTGTCTGAGCCTTTGACCGTATTCGTCAAACTGTTTGTGGATGATCATTCACTTGAATATGTCTTCAATCATGCAGAAACTGAGCCACAACTAACATTATCAGCGACAATTGCTTTATTTGTCGACTTACTCATCGCCTTTCAAGGTCCATCTGCCAAGAACGATTATCGTAAACAACTTGTAATCACAGCTCTATTAAACATTCTCTGGAGTATTTCCTTCCAAGATCGGTATAAAACAAAACTGAAGCAAAATGAAAAGTTACTGGAGATCATCAAAACTATATCTCTGGGCAATGATGAGAAAACGACTCATCAATATGTTTCACGTTCTATGGAAAGTTCGAGAAATGCTTCTAATGGTATTCTTCACAATCTTAATGTGACATCGGAAAAAGAGGAAAATCGTATTCCGAATCTGCCGATCGCTTCAGATACGAACAAGAGTAAAGCGATGGTTATGATTAGCTATGCTCATGATAACAATGAATTTTGCGATAAAATTCTCACAGCATTGAAAAAAGATGAAGATCTCTTTCGAATTTGGATTGATCGCGATCATTGTTCATCTAGTGAAGATTTATGGGAAAAGATTGCTCGTGGTATTGGAGAAGCAAATCTTGTCATATGTCTTCTCTCGCAAGATTATTACAACAGCAGGTCGTGTCGAAAAGAATTTACTTTTGCTTTCAAACGCAACAAACCTATTATTCCTATCTATTTCGGTAAACCTGGTGATTGTGATTGGCTTGGTATGTTGTCTTTTACATACTGATAACTTTTACCTAAGAGACTTAGATCGATTTAGCAGGTGTCAGAGACCAATATAACGCCCGTGTACTTTGTAGTCAAATTTCTAAATACGGAGAGTAAAACCTATTTGTTGTATAATGTAACAAATCATTGTTTGTAGATATTCACATTGCTGATCGCAAATATGTTCGTTTCACAAATGACACAAAAGAACTGAATACTACTAAAGTTCAAGAAATGTTGAAGACGATCGAAGCTACTATCAGCGAAACGAATGGACAATCATTACAACCACAACGAACAAAACAGCATGAGACACCCGCACAGTCGCAAAAGGAAAACGATAAAATCCAGTCAACCGGTTTTGATAAAGAGAAATCGCCGGAAGAATGGACTCGAGAAGATATTCGGAAATGGTTTCATACTCACAATGTACCTGATACGTTGGTGAAATTATTTGATTTTCAGTCCGTGAATGAAATCAATCAATATGCTCTTAAACTACAAACAGATCCGAAGAATGAATTTTTGAAATATGCTCGTCGTTATGCAAAGACTTATGCAGATGATGAACTCGAAGAATATATTTTTGATCGATTTAAAAATTCTCTTCTCAAACTTCCCGTCGTTCGACGTGAAATCATGAGTTTGTCAACGTCTTCTTCATCAACACCGAAATCGACTGCATGTATTCTTCTCTGAATCCAATTTCACTCACAAATACGTACAAGAATATGAAAAGTTAATCATAGTGTATTTAGTTTCCTTATCTTTTTTTTATCATAATAGAGCTGAGTGTGTACCAAGAAACAGATTATGTTATTATCCATTATCTTGTTTTTCTACTTCAGCTTCTATCATTTCTAGAACATCAATTTCCAATGAAATCGAAGACATTCCTACATTTCCATCAATGATAGTATATTAAAGGTCGCAGTATTTTCCTTCCCAACTCTATGAATGTTTATTGAAGAAGATCTTTTCTTTGAGATGATGTTCAAGATAAATAAAGAACTATCAGAGCAAAATGATAAAATCAATACAGGAACGATAAAGATTTGTAAAAATAACATTCGTGTTAAACTATTTTTACTTCTTCGATTTCTTGACACAACTGGTTCACTCGTTGAAATTCGAACTATTCTTTAACTTTGATGAATATTCTTAATTGTATCAAAACCAAAGACAAACATGAGTACGATCGGAGTGATAATAATCAAAAAAGCTTGTGCAAGATTATTATACATTAAACATACATTGGAAACAGAATAACATTGAATCGGTGTATTGATTTGATCTGCAGTAAGACAATCAAGAAATTTGACTAAAACTGCAGCGAGAAAATAGACACAACATTGATTGGAACGAAGATTTCGATGAGTAAAATCCAAACAATTACATAAATATCTGATAACACCCAATGAAAGAAGAAATATTGTCAAATAACGATTGATCTGTTGTGTTGCTGTTTGTAATCAAAGAACGATAACATACGTATGTATTTATTTTGCTTTGTTCTTTAAATGTTGATCATCCAAAAATCTTTTTCTTGATTTGTAAAAGAAAGCAATGTTCATGTCACTTGGGAGAAAGAAGGGCCTATTTCCTTCTCTATTTTACCACATAATTATTGAAAGACTGTATTTCTAGGTGCATTGAACAATGTCAGAAAACTAACCAAACACGATATTTTTCTTTATAGATTTCTATTTGAAATTCAAGGAATCGAAGAGCCAAATATATGATCAATGTAATCTGAAGTACAATTTTACAAATACAAGAAGTCGAATTTACTTCTTCACTGTAAAAAAAAAACAACAGATCATGTGCTGCAAATTATCATTTTCTTCTTTAGAAACTTTCATTGTCGATTAACCTAATTACTCATTTCTAACATTATGCATTTGAGCGAATCCATGAGATAGGATTAACTTTGAAATTAATACGCTTAATACCACGATAACTTGTACCGAAAGTTAAATAAATCACGGGCGTGATTATCCTTCTTTTACATATGAAATTGATAAACTAATTCTTCAGAAAATACAAAGAAATCTTTTTTCTCAGAATTTCTCAAAATGAAAAAATCATTTCACTTCATCATAGATGAGAATCTATTGTATTCTCAATCAAATAAATATTTATATTTTTAGTTTGAACCAGATGTAAGTTGATACAAAGAATAATAAGAAGTGAAACAGATGAAAATTTCCAACAAAGCAGAAATATGTAATATAGTTTCTCCTGTTCTCTCAGTCTCACCTTGAATGTCTCATCAGACTAATTTCGAACCATTCGTCGTAAGTTCTGCTTTACAAAAGTAATTACCTTTTTCTTTCTTTCTTTAACCTTCGGTTTTGACAGTTCGTTCTATCAACGACAAAAAAAAGTCTTTCTCCTTGTACAACTGAAGTTAATGTCATTACTCGAAAGATGAATAAACATCAGAAGGGTAAATTTCCGTTGGTTCTTTTGTTTCTCGCTCGTTTTTTCTGTATAATACATTTGGCTATATCGATATATATGATTTATTTAACAAAACCAACTCGAAAATTGTATTTTATTCCAATAATTGGTTTAGTTTTCCTTCTTTTCGAAAAAATTTTCTTTCTTTCTTTAAAATCTCGTTATAAAAATTCGTTTATATTTTTATTAATCTATTCAATATTTATTATTTCATCAATTTGGTTCTTTGAATTATATCGAATTGAAACTTTAATAAATCGTCATGAAACTCAATCAAGTGTTGAAGTCTTTTCAATTATCTATTATACACCATTAAAATCACTTGATAATTTTTATTTTCAAAACAAATTTTTATGGTCACAAATTCAAATTCAATTTTATCTTTTTCTCATGACAATATTAAAAGGTTTATGTGAAAGAAAGAATCCTCGATTGATCATTTTAATGAAAACATGGACAACAGCATTGGATTTATTAGACTTTTTAGATTTACTTAATCATTGGAAATTTTATTCTAATCTTCGTTTTGTTTATACAATTCTTTCCATTTGGTCAATTAGTTGTTTACAATTTCTCATTCAAATGTCTTCGTTACAAAAAATTTTATTTCAAAAAAATTTTCCTCGTTTAGGATTAATAATGACGGATTCGTTTTTAGCGATTCTGATCACCGATATTCCTTATTTAATTGTACGTCTTTATGCAATATTTGGTATTCGAAATCATGATTATACAAGTTATTTTCTTGTTTTTAAAAATTTCGTCTCAATTCTCTTTCAAATAGCTGATGTTTCCAAGGCATTTCATCGAAAAGAATCCAAGAAAAATATCAGATTAAGAATTTCACCTTGATTTCATTCTTCTTCTCATCTCATTTGTTAGAACGATCTGATTTAAATTCAAATTCAAACGAACATTCAACTGTTTGTTATAATTTGAAGATATAAATTATAAAAGGAGAAACTTTTTAATAAAATCTACAAAATGATTAAATCATCTGTAAGTGTATTTAATGAATTCTTTTCAAATTCGATTGTATTAATTGAAATATCCAACCAAATCAAATCAATATCATTGGATTCTACCGAGGAATTCTCGTTCAATTTAGAGAATCTTCGATTGAAAAGAAAAAAAGATCTAAAAGAAAAACAAAAGTTTTAGAAATCTTTCAATAAATTCGACTTACAGATTAAATATTAAAGAAATCATCGAAAGTCCGATAACAATGAGAAAAGTTAAATAAGGTAAATCGTCAATAGTGAATTGATAAATCCAATTAAATAACGAATTTCCAAATAACGAACAAATTGTATCTACAATTGCAAGAAATGTAAACAAACAATGAAATTGATTTGATTGAAATGATTTTGATATGAGTGACCATGTTAACGAACTTTGATAATCAACAAATGGTAAAATTAATAAACTTAAATATAAATGCCAATTTTCTCGTGCAAAAACAAAGTTAAGTGCCAAACAAATCAAACAAATTTGACTTAAACAACAAATAAGTGAATCACAAAGAGAAAATCGTGTGAAAATTTTCATTCCAATAACACTAAACACTGCAGTTAGAATTGCTGATAAAGCATTGAAATTTCCAATTTGTATCGATGACCAATTAAACGGAAAATTAAGTAAATACCAAAGAAAATTTGACCAAAGTGCAGAATTCGCAAATGAATAGAAAATATACGCAAAAAATATCAAGAAAACATTCCAACATTTCGATTTCGAATGACAAAAGTTCAATTTCGACCAAAAAGATTCTTTAATTTGAATATCATTATAAAATTCAATTGGTAAAAGAGTTTGTGAACGAGGAGATGATTTAAAACATAAAATAACAATGATAATCGAGATTATTTGTGAAATTAATGAAAGATAAACTAAATTAATGAAAGAATATGAAGATAAATAATAACCAATAAGAAAATCTCCAATGGATGTGACAAATGTTTTCAATGCATCAAGAAAAACAAAATAAATCGAACGATCCGTTTCTTTTGTTAAATCTGTCACGAATAAATTCAATGTTAAATCTGAAACAAAGTCAAATTTGATCTTCAAAATCCAATGAAATGGAAATTCTCTTACGAAAAATCGGTTGTGAACCAGTTAAACCGAGAATAAACGACGAAATGAACCACCAATATTCTTCTAATTGATACGAAATGATAAATAACCAAAGAAAAAACTGAANTTTTCATGATGATGAAACATTTGAAGAAAGTTGCGCGCTTGATGATTTTCATTTTCGTGTTCAATGTTTAATGAATCGAAAAATAACGTGTTTTGCATCAATTACGATAAATGATGATTTTCAAGATTGTGAAAATGGAGAGGACGAGGATCACGCTGACTTTCGATACAAAACACATCTCTATTTCCAAACAGTATGTGTACACAAGTTGCATTTGAATACGCTGTCTGCTCGTTTCGCTTCGATACGGTCGATGTGCCTTCATATTATTCATATATATTCAACACTGAAGCAACCGTTTAACGGAAACTACGTGTATGACGGTGCACTTTTCTACGTGTTTTTTCTTACCTTACTGTTGATGTAATGAGTCAAAAGAAAATAGCCAACATGATCAAGCATTTTTCTTCTTTTTACTATAAAATCAATGCAAAACAATTTATTGACACAAAATGACTACTTTATCTGAACCAGTTCGAATATTAATAGTTGGAATTAATCCAGAAACAAACGCAAAAATTGTTGGTACTGTTAATGAAGATAAATCAATATTAGCAGACGGCTTCGTCGCATCAAACAATCCAGAGTGTGATGCGGAATTAATCAATGTCATAAAACAATCGACATACGGCGCAGTTATACTTGGCGGTGGACTTCGCGCTCAACAGGATTGGTATGAACGAATTCAAAATATTATTAAGAGCAATAGTGATTTACCCGCGGTGGGAGTTAAAGGACCAACAGTTAATTATGTTAAAGAAGCGTTAACAACTATTGGTGTTCTAAAAGGATAAAGAATATCAATTAGATGTTTGTCAAATAATTTTTCAAATAAAATATTTTCAAACTTAATTAAGTACAAATCTTGAGGGTGTGCAATATGAATAGATATCCACACACTCACCCACGATATATTATGTTACTTCGTAGTCAGGATGAAATTAGGTCACAACTTGAATGATCTATTAGTGGATGTACGCTTATTCACGAGCTCAAAACTGCTAAAATCACGCGACTTGAAGTAGTCGAAGTAGCCAAAGTACCTTGAAGTCACTTCAAGTATAGAAGTCCGCTGTTTCCCCCTTGGCGGCTTCTGTGCCGCGTTACTCGTGAAGTATTTTGCTTTAAGTTATGTGCAAAGAAAAATGGCTTTTTTTATTTGTGATGAAATTTATCGAGAATTGATTGATAATGTTCAAATACAAATTCTATTCAGTTCAATAACGGCTCTTGTAGAATTTCTTTGTCTGAATTTATTTTGAATGCTGGCCAAATAGAAGAGAGTTTTCAGAGCGATATAGTCATTTGAATTGAAACATATAATTTTGTTTTTCCGATTTAATAAATAGTAACTGACATCGAAGGTTCTCGTCGATAATCTGCATGTTTTATTCTGTCTCGATTTGTTGTTGAAATGGAATTATTTTCTAAATATAAACATTGTAAAGATCGATTTTTGTCAATAATTGTTTCAACACAATAATCTGTTATTCGATTATTCTGAAGGAATAACACTTTCAATGTTTGATTTTGATTAGTTAATGTTCGAAATAATTCACACGCACCAAAATTACCAATTTGATTTCATCCGAGCCAAAGTTCTTCTAACGTTTTGTTTCATTTTAACATATCAGCTAAATATTCCGCTCCAGTATTGTCAATTCTATTTCTTGTTAAATGAAGACCTTTGCAAGTTTTTCCACTTGATTATTTGAGAGATATTCATCGATAAACCAATGTCTTGATCGACGCCATTTTTTAATCAAATAAACAATTCCAATTGAAATTATTCTTTTCGTGCTTCACTCAGACATCGAAGTCATTGCTGAAAATCCGTTATTGTCTTTGTTAAAGCCCAAATATGACATAAGCATATAAATCTTAGTTTTGTCAGGAGAAACTGATAGGATTTTTCCAAGGTCACAGAAATGAAAAAAAATATTGTTTTCAATGTTGCGTTGTCACTGCTGTTTTTCGTTCTTTATTTTCGTGCTGATAAGACTCTAATCGACATGTGCTTTATGAGGATTTAGTTCTTCGATTTTACAATGCAAAATGTCACTCACGAAAGTTATTCGATTGAGAAATCATCTCCATTGGGAAAATATCAACGAGCTGCAATCGCAGTTGATAATGAAATTTGCTCGAAAATTGGTCGAGAGATCTTAGAAAAAAATGGCACAACGGTCGATGCTGCTTTAGCTGCTGCGATTTGCAATGGTGTAATGAATCAACATTCAATGGGTATTGGAGGAGGATGTGTGATGGTGATCTCTTCGAAGTAAAATTATTTTTCATATTCTTCAATACTTAATTTGATTTTTAGGAAAAAAGGAAAAGTTTTTAGTATTATTGGAGTAAGTCAGAAAGAACACATTCTATTCCATCGATGATTCCGATGTCGCTAATTTGATTAAAGAATCTCTTTTCCGATTTCTAATAGAGAGAAAAGGCTCCATTAGCATCAAATGAAAATCTGTTTATTGGAAAAGAAAATTTGTCTTCAATTGGTAAGTAAATTGTTCTTTTGAATATCCATTGAAACGACAAATGTGATTTGAGGTGGATTATCAATTGCTGTTCCAGGTGAATTACGTGCTTATCGAAAAGCATACGAAGAATTTGGTGGTGGAGTTTCGTGGAAAGATCTTTTTCAACCAACAATTCAATTATGTCGACAAGGTTTTCCAATCAGTTCGGCTTTAGCACAAGCAATTCAACAAAATAAACAATTGATTCTTAATGATCCAAATATGAAGTAAAGAATCGAAATGAAAATATTGAAAAAGTGAAATTCTTTTAGAGAATTATTTGTTAAAGATAAAAATACAAATGAATTGTATCAATTCGGAGATTCAATTAAACAACTAAAATTGGCAAAAACACTACAAATCATTGCTGAACAAGGTGATGATGTGTTTTATCATGGTGAACTTTCTCAGAAAATTCTTCAAGAAATTCAAGACGAAGGTAATTCAATGTCTCTTTTCTAATCAACTGAAATCGAATATTCAGGTGGAATTATAACAAAAGAAGATCTTGAAACTTATGACATTGATTATCGTGAAGCACATTGTATTGAATTCGATGATCGTATTCGAGCATTTACAACTCATGCTCCAACTAGTGGACCAATTTTAACATTTATTCTAAATGTTTTACAAGGCTTTCAGTTTTCTGCAAACCAATTAGAAGAATCGACGAGTGCTGCGTTATTTTATCATCGTCTTATTGAAACATTGAAATTTGCTTATGCGAAACGAAGCGAACTTTCCGATCCACAATTCAATGATATCACACAAGTTTGCTCGACAGTTTGCTCAAAATTTCAAAGAAATTTTTCGTTTTTGTTAGTTAATTTCTGATTTAACTTCGAAAGAACATGCCGAAGAGATTCGAAAACGAATCGAGTAAGTAAAGAATTGTTGTGAACATAGTTTTACAATAGATCGATTTAGTGATGATAAAACATTTGACTGTGAATATTACGGTGGAATATGGTTTGACAAAAGTCGAACAGGAACAGCTCATTTATCATTAGCTGGACCCGATGGTGATGCAATTGCATTGACATCAACGATTAACCATTAGTAAAAAAAAAACATTTTTCAATCCATATAGAATCTCAAATATCTTTTCTTTTATCCGATAGTTTTGGTTCGAAAGTTCTCGGTAAACACACTGGAATTTTCTATAATAATCAAATGGATAGTTTTTCAACGAGAAATACATCAAATCAATTTGGAATTCCATCAAGTCCAGCGAATTATATATTTCCTGGAAAACGACCTGTGTCATCAATGTCACCAATCATTCTTTGGGATAAAATAAAAGAACATTGGATCCAAATCTTAGGTGGAAGTGGAGGACCAAGAATAACAACAAGTGTTGCACAAGTTTCTTTAATTAATTGGTTATTTAAACAAAATATTAAAACAACAATTGATTCATCACGAATTCATTCACAATTATTACCAAATGAAATTATTGTCGAACAAGGTTTTGACGAAGTAAAACGATATCTCTCACTTTTCGGAGAGAATTTTCTTTTGTTTTTTTAGAAAATAATCAATGAATTGAGAAAACGTGGTCATCAGATTGTCTCTGTTGATTCAATTGGTTCAGCCGTTCAAGGAATTGAATGGAAAGAAGAATTGAATGAATTTTGGGCAAATTGTGATCGACGGAAAGGTGGAAAACCTGATGGATTTTAAAACGAAAATATCGAATAACAATGTATCACAGCGCCCTCTGATTTTTCATTTGTTCTAAAATACAAAAAAACTTTCACCAATCAAAGGACGAGATAATTCATTGAATAAAATTTTCCTCATTCGAAAATGAAATGTTATCTTCGATAGTTCTTCGTTGTCATCGGATGATTTCTTCGAATCCTACAAGTCATTTTTTAACTTTACCAAAACGTCCATTAGTGAAAGAAAATGGTGAAGTGGGTGAAGGTCCACTAAGAATGCATTATTGGGAATGGAAAGGTTATGGGCCAACGATTTTAATGTGTCATGGTGGAACACTTCATAGTCGATGTTATGATCGAATAATAAATGAAGCTTTATTAGGATATCACGTGATTTCGATTGACTTTCGCGGACATGGTCAATCAGATAAGCATCGTCTTCCTTATCGATTTTCATGGTTTGGTGAAGATTTATTAAATTTTATCGAAATTCTCGATTTATCAAAGAAGAATTCTTTACTTGGCATCGGTCATTCACTTGGTGGACATGCTCTTGTCTTAGCTGGTGCATTGGCATCGAAATCAATCTTTCACTCCTTACTTTTACTAGATCCCGGAATCTTTTCTTCATTTTACTATGAACAAAGTGATCAACATTCGAAGTCTTCGAAACATTTAGCACCACGACGAGGTCAATGGTCTTCAATTGAAGAAATGATTTCATATATGGAGAAACCTTCTCGACTTTTTTCATGGCCAAAAGATGTTCTTCGTGATTATTGTTCTTATGCAATTGATGAAAACGGCAAACTTCATTGTACACCTGAAAGAGCTTGGCATTTGTATGAAATAAGTGTTCATCGAGAATCAGATATTCGCCAAATTGTTCAAAATTCGAAATTTATTCACCAAACCAAAGTTCATGTGATTCGAGCAGGTCTTTCTCAATTATCTGGAAGAATTTCGGTTCCATCAGTTGCACCTGATCTTTCTCAATGGTTTCAATATGGTTATGATACACTATTAAGAGATTCCAATCATTCATTTCCTCAGGAACAACCCGAACTTCTTACTCATTTTGTTAAATTATTTATTCAACAATATCAAAACACACGTTCGCATCTTTAATACTTTTTCTTTCAAAGATCAACGTATATAAATAGTGAAATGAAGAAGTGCACTTCAAATAAGATCAAAAATAAAGTTTTTATGTAGTTATTTGCAAAGAAAATTGACATAGTTGATTATCTCCTAAAAGAAAAATATTTTCAAATCGGTCAGTTCGAATTGCTCTTTGACCAAAATAGCAACTACTTCTGAATTCACCTTGATCTGTAACAATTACTCGTTTCTGATTGTTGACTAAATCAATTTGATGAATTGTTCGTTCATACATATCAACATAATAAAGAAATCCGTTACAATCCATTGTTAATCCAATGACATATGTTAAATTTTTGACAATTGTTTCTCCTTCGGTTGCATTGTCTTTCCATTTTTGAATTCTTTTATTTTGCCAATCAGCGATAAATAACGTTAAATCATCAGTAACAACAAATCCCACTGGATCCCAAAGATTACTTTGGTCGGTTAAATTCGATCGACTTTTTCCAGCAACAATGACATTTTGGGTATAATCAGTTGATTTTAACCATTTCTTAATGAAATATCTCGTTCCAACATAAATATTCATTTGTTTATCCAATGTTAAACGATGAATAGATTGTGAATATAAATATTCACCTTGTTCGCTCAGTAAAATCTTTCCAATTTGATCGTTTTTCTTCCATAAATGAACACGATACGAAACAATGTCTGTTTTATTATCAGTTGTATCATTTTCAAGAAAATCCAAAATATAAATATCTTCTGTTTGAACATCAACAAAGAGAGATTGTGGAGAAGAAAGATTTCTACTGGCTACAGTAACTCCAAGAAGACCTGGATTCGGATTAAATGGTTCATTTAGAGAATATTTTTGTATTCGATCATTTTTTGTATCAGCAACATAAAGAGTATAGTGAATATCATCAAAAAAGAAATCTTGAGAATGACATAAACCATATTCATTTGAAGAACATTCACCTCCGGGATTTATTAATACAAAACCTGTTTCATTCCATTTGCCATTTACGGTTGGAATTGAACAGGATTTCGACGAAGATGTTACAGTTTCGATTGTTGCTAAAACAGTACAATTATTGGATTTTCAAACGAAACCCTCAACTCACTTGTTGAGGATTGATTTGGCAAAGTAGTTTCTGTTGTTGTTGTCGTCGTATCGAAATTTTTCGATAATTTTTTTGATAGAATAAATCCAGTTGAAATGACTGCTAAAAGTGTTATTGATGATCCAAGAAGACAACCGATTAGAAGTCTTTTTTTGACTGAAATTGGACATCGTCTACCAACGGAATTGTTTTCATCAAAAGAAGGTGGATGATGTGCCGAGTTGAGTTCTGCTAAGTGACCATCTGAAAGTAATGGTGAATCATCAGCTGTTGCGGAGGAATCGTCACAATCGATTAAGATATCGTCAGGTGACGCTTCCGGACTGTCCGAAGTAAGAACAACGTTATCCATCTAGAAAATGAATGAAGATCGACGTCATCGGTATTGATCAAAAACAAAATGGTTCGGAAATTATTTTCTTTGACTTGTGAATCATTAAAGCAGAAAAAGGGAAGCATACGACATATTTTCGTCACACTTCAATAAATCACCTTGAAAATAGATTTATTGGATGAAAAATATCTTATCTGAGAGTAGCGACACCAACCGCTGTACATATTTGGAATACGTTTGTGCTCCAGAATTTCGATTTAATTCAACTGTTCGTTTTCGTGTGACTTGTTATAACAATGGATCATAGAGTTCATTACCAATCTGTTAATGTGAGTTCTTTATAATTTATTAAGAGATCAATCAAATGATAATTGTATACTGTCGGGATCTTATGTGGAAATGACATGTTGAACAGAATATGTGAATATTGGAGGGAGGTTCACTCAATATAACCGTGTGTCAATAGTGTATGGACTCAATTTTCCAACGACTCTCTCAATAATGGCGATGATTCTGATACAACAACGAAGAAAATCAACATTGATGGCTCATGTCCTGTTGACTCGACTATACTTGTTCTATTGAGAATGAAACTGTTAGCCGTACTTTAGCGTTTATATTCTTTGCTTTATCATGAAACGGATAATTATTCGATGGTAAGTTTGCCAGTATTACCTTCCAGTACATCTCGGTTAGAACTAGCTGGTCAAACACAATTATTACAAATTTCTGAGGAGTGAACTCTTGTTCGCAACGAATCCCACGTTAAAGAAGCAAGTCACATTAGAATTATTTACTGATTTATCACTGTTTACTGTCGTTTACTTTAAAAGACAACTCACGTGTATAATTCGAAAATATAAGTTGGTTTGTACAACCCGTGTGTGACAGTAAATACCAAAGGACAAGTTTATTTTCGATGAAATTCATGGTTATGAAGATGTGATCACACCTATTGGATATTGACTGAAATGTGAGAATGGTGTTTGGGAGTGTACTTTCTGTTTACACAGGTTTGTCATTCATATGAAAAATAGTTTTGGGATTAATCTGTTTTTATTTTGAAAAGTAAATCCCATTTGTTCTGTGTTAGAATTACAATCAGGTTTGGCTACAATAAACATAGTATCTAAATTACTTTCGATCAGTCCTAATGGTGATATTCGTGCTGATGGATGGACAAAGAACAAAAAAGAAACGATTACCTTAATTGATAGATCTATATATAGACACTATTCATCTTTTTGAAGAACTACCAAAGAGTATTATCATTTAATAACCAACTTGTGCTATAAATACTTCAGAGAATCGAACTATCAGTAGAATACACAACCGATTCGGCTCATTTTAGAATAAGATTTATTTGCGAAACTAAAGAAACCAGAATTCAAAGTTTTCAAAAGAAGAGATGATTAATTCTGTCGTTGTTGTATGTTTTTTCTAAAGAGTTTCATAAGTTCTTGCCGAAAATGTCTACTTGATAATGTATAAATATAAAATGAAAAGATTTTGTCAACCAAACTAAACCAAAGAGCGACATTTAGGAGAAGTGCTTCGACAGATATTCGAACATCACTTTTGACGATTGAGAGTGGAATAAGTGCATATAGTTTCATAGTAAAAAGTGGTATCGAGCAAAGAAGATACACAATAACTTGAGCATAGAGTAATCGTGTGTTTGCTCGATTAGTTTTTCGATTGATTCTTGTGTTTTTATGAATTGTTGTCGAAGGATTTGTTACTGCTGAAAGTGGAATATCTGGTCCAACCTGATGACCTTGCCGAATGTGCATTATAGTGCCAATAGTAAATATAAGCATGAATATAGGTGGACCAACAGATTGAAAAACGAAATAATTCACAATATCTGCTAATCCACATTCGCTGTTTTGTTGATAACATGGAACTGGTTTAGTAAATTGATTAATCTCATAGCAATAAAGTGTTGGAATATAAACACAAGGTATGACCAGAAATGCAATCATTGTTATACGTCGAGTTGTTTTCATATTACTATACGCACGTATTTTCACATGACGAGATGATGAAAAGAATCGATCCGCACAACACGCAACCATTAACCAAGTTGAAGTAACAATGGAAATATAATAACAATAAACATGCATTTTACATAAGATTGAGGATGTGTAAACTAATGGGAGATTAAAACCAAGAAATGTCCTTAATAGAAGGTATGGATATATTGTGATTAAATTGCAAATTGAAGCGATTAAAAGCAATGGAATACTTGGAGAAAGTGTCCACATTGAACGACGTTTGAATAAAATTATATTTAAAATATTTCCAACAGTTCCGAGAAAGATAAAGATGATACCAATAGCGATCAGAAGTTTATTTCGAATATCATTGATTAACAACGATGTCGTAGACATTTCTACGCCTTTCGAGAAAAGATCAAAGAAAAACACCGATGGATGTCAAGTTATTTGAAGAAAACTAACTGAGACAGACAAATACTTTGACGTGTGAGAATAATTATTGTCTATCGTTTCTCTCTTTTCAACAGAGGATTTAGCTTCAACATAGAAGATAGACACTAACAGGGAAGAACGGAAACACTATTTTACTTAAATTCTCCAGTCATTATTCAATTAACCGATCTTCTAAATATAGTAAATTACATTTTCTTTTTTCATCCCCGCTACGGACATCTTCAAAAAGACCTAAAAAAGACTCAACTAAACAGCATGTAGGCATCCCTTTCATTTCGAATCCTTCATAGTATAGAATAACTGAATTTCACAAATGTTTCTCTTTCTGTTTTTGATTAAAACATTGATTTGACAGAAAGAATATTTTCAATTTGGCTTAATGAAAATTTGTTTTTATCTAATTACAAAATAATAAGACGAGACAATAAATGAGACATCACGCACACATTTACCCTGAACACTCATCTGATATTGAAATGAAAATTGGTAAAAACGAGAAAATTAATTACACTGAGCCTGCGGAAAAACTTGCAAGAGAACATGACTAAATGCGTTCTAGCGACATTTTCCGACTTAAAATCATTGAAGATTTGTTAGAAATTGTTGCAAGATCTGATATTTGTAATCATATGAATATTTCTAATTAATATTTAGTTTTGAAACTAGAGAAAACAAAAATTATTCTTTTTGTATCGGAGAGAGTCAAGATGATTAAAACGTCATGAACTGTTGGTAAATAAAAGATTATAAAAGAGATGTCACGCAAAACAAATGACTTATCCACGTCAACTATCATTTTACTGATTAATGTTCTAAAACTAATACAGGATTTTATTCAATCTCTGCTTTTCATTGTTGTAATTCAGAATATTTTGTAACATTTCATGTCGTTAATCACTTCTTATTCAGAATTGTGATTCGAAAGTTAGCTCTGAGAAGCAACAAAAAGTGTTCTGGATTTGACAAACACATCAACAATTGCTATAAGATCAACTGTCTCACGTTGTTCGACCTCAGATATTTCGTTAAGATTATATTTTTTTAAAATAAACTTCGTTTTTCATTGTTTATCTGAATTTACAAAAAGTTCTTTATTTCTTTTATCTGTGAAACATACTCTGAAAAAATATCATTTATTTTCTCCTTTATATCGAATTATGTATGATCAACTTTTTAAAAAGATGGAAATGATTTCCTAAATTTACTTTATGGATTTGAAATGTCTGTTTGTAATTTGAGGATCCACGAAAAACACTCAACATAATGGAAATTATATGAAAATAACTACGATTGCAAAGTTTCACTCAAAATTCTTCCGGATACTATTTTACTTGTATCTGAGTTTCAATTATATTTCTATATCATCTATTTCATGAATATATTTTTGGAAGGAAATCAATGTACTATATCGTTTTAACTGTTCGAAAATATGAGCGATTGGTTGGATTTTTTCCACAGAATTCTCTCATCAACATCTCAGCAGAAAAAATGGTTGAGATATCGTTAAAATTCTGGAAATTCATTGGATCATCCCTGAGGGGTAGTATAGAGTTTTCATAAAAAACGTTTGCATTTGCTACAAGCATCGCTATAATCAGTTTTATGAATACTAATTACTGATATACAACAGCGTAGCGCGATACCCTTGAGTCCTTATACCCCGTACTGTGAAGGCACTCTTAGGTCGTCAAGTCCGGTACTATACGGGTACTCTCAGATCCCCGTATACTGTATTGTGTAAGTACTTTTGACCACTTGTGTCGTTTAGCATATAAGACCCTCGGATCTTGAATTGTCATATAGGAGAGGGATGTCCTTTGTTCCTCTTGTGTCTGGATAAATGGAATATTTTCGAAATCATGGAATAGTGCTCAACTATAGATTGGAAGTAGTAAGCATCATGATAATGTAGGTAATAGTGATGTTATGAGATGTATATCTAATCCATATCGACACCTGCGTATTGCTGTTTAACATAGGATGGTAATAGTATAGACAAAAGAAACTAGTTTCTTCCAAAGTCGAGGATAAAGCGAGTCGAAACAACAAACGTTTCTTGCAGCTTTTGAGGTTTCTCGGATCCATGGATCATGATTTTTAATTTAATAAAAAGGCGCTCTAAATGTTCATATCGTAAACTTTCTTGCTGGAGATATTATATGACGATCTGTAATATGTCTCTTTGTAGACTCATGAAGTTACGTATGACCGTAATGGTGATAGATAGAATACAAAGGATTATACTCATTGAAAAGGTTCCTCATGGTAATTTGGATGTGACGACACGCCTGAATGACTCATCTCTCTGGTACACTTTTGCAGTACACATAACTTATTTTAAAAGAAAATGATATTAGTATTTTAAATGAAAATACTTTTAGTGAAGATCAAACGTGTGATTTTCTTATTTGTTTTCATTTTCATTATAGTAAAATCAATCTCACAAAACATCCAAACAATAAGATTATCAATCATTTACAATACTCGATATCAATGTGTTGATCCTCAATGTTCACCCATTTCCATCACAGTTCTGTATCAAATGGATGAGGAGTGACGATGTTTTTTTTTCCATTAAACCATTTTTGTATTCTCACTTCAAACAAAACATCACAAAATTGTACTGGAGATAAAAGAGAATTCACCGTCTTGTTTATGTTCACATTTCTTTTAGTCGTTCTGCGAGTGTTGTTTTAAAATTGTTTTTTAGTTTCTTTTTCCCACACTGAAACAAAATATTTGGCCTGCTGATTATTAATGACAAGAAGTCCATGTCTTTCCATTTACGTTTCCGCTCAGTGCGGGAGAAATCATTCTTATTCTTACTATAAAAAGACTTCAAACAAACATACGTCGTCAGCATACAAATTTCTGCAAGATGGATGAAACTGAAGAAACTAAATGCGATGTTTTTAAAGCAGAAAAAGAATCTGTGAATAAATCATCGCCGGATGGGAAAGAATCAACGGATACATCGAAGAAAAGTCTTCAAAGTATACGCGATCAACTTCAAAAATTACATGACAGTGATGCGAGTGCACAAGACCGTTATCAAGAATCAAACGAATTATATTCTGAACTGATCGATTATATTGCGAGAGCTACAGATGCTGATGCGAATGATATTCAAATTTGTGCGAATCTTTTTGAAAAAGTAATGCTACAGGTTCCATCTAAGGCTTTTTCGCAAGAAAGAATATTGTTCACACGTAAGGTTTTCTTTAAATCTCTCAATCTTCTCTCTAAACAAGAAAGATACATGTATTTCCATGATTATCAACAAACGACAACAGCGCAAACAGAATTTTATAAACCGGTGGTCCGTGCACTTCTACGCATAGCTTATATAATTGTTGGAAATATGCATTTTGTTAAGGAAGATACTGCTAGTCGCAAATACACTAAATTATTCTGCGCGATGTGTAAATCGGTGGAACGCAGTGTATCTGACGCGACTGCGAACTGCACTGAAGAAGATGATGATCTCGACAGTTTGACAAGTTGTATTCTGTCGTTTATCTGGAATCTATCAGATTCTACAATTGTTGTACCATGGTTACTCGATACTGAGTTGCCGAAAATGGTCTTAAAATGGTTGAAAGCAGTGACCTTATCATCTGCAGCAGCTGAACAATTCGTCAGTATCATTCATAATATCTCGAGACACAATGACGGCGCCGATGAACTTAAGAAATTTGACGGACTGTGTATTCTTCAAAATATTCAAAATGATAACAAAGAAGAGTTGCCTGATAAAAACAATCTTCTCATTTCCATGGCCATAGCCCATCTGTCTACAGTCGAACAAATTCGTTTAGATAATAAACGCAAGAACACAATTCTTAACCAGCTATTACAAATGACTATTGATGCCGCCCAAGTAAGTTTGAAATACTAAAATAAAGTCAGAGAATTAGAGTAAGGATGTATCTTCTTTTTACCCATCACTACTCTTACCCTTGCCGTTCAGCGGTAAAAAATAGCGGTGTTATAAGCTCTTATTGTTTAGGAGGACGATTATCGTGACGGCGATGGTTTTCATGTATCTGAGCCTTTGATCGTGTTCGTCAAATTATTTGTGGATGATCGTTCACTTGAATATGTCTTGAATCACGCAGAAACTGATCCACAGCTAACATTATCAGCAACAATTGCTTTATTTGTCGATTTACTCATCAAGTTTCAAGATTCATCTTCTCTCAACGATTATCGTAGACAACTTGTAATCACAGCTCTATTAAATATTCTCTGGAGTATTTCCTTTCAAGATCGGTATAAAACAAAACTGAAGCAAAATGATAAGTTAATAGAGATCATCAAAACTATATCTCTGGAGAACGATGAGAAAATGGCCGATCAATACGTTTCACGATCTATGGAAAGTCCGAAAAATGCTTCTAATGGTATTCTTCACAATCTCAACGTGACATCGCATAAGGAGGAAAATGTTATCGCGAGTCTGCCGATTGCTTCAAATGCGGGCAATAGTAAAGCAATGATTATGATTAGTTATGCTCATGATAACGATCGATTTTGCGATGAAATTCTTAAAGCATTAGAAAAAGATGAACATCTTTTTCGAATTTGGATTGATCGTGATCATTGTTCATCGAGTGAAGATTTATGGGAAAAGATTGCTCGCGGTATCGGAGAAGCTAATCTCGTCGTATGTCTTCTTTCGCAAGATTATTACAACAGCAAGTCGTGTCGAAAAGAAATTACTTTTGCTATCAAACGCAATAAACCCATTGTTCCTATCTATTTTGGTGAACCTGGTGATTGTGACTGGCTTGGTATGTTGTTTTACAGGCTTAATACTTTTTATCTAAGAGGATGTGGGTGATGGTGGAAGTTAAATAGTTTAAAACTCTAATTCTAAACTGAAGTATTTAGAGTTCAAACGAAAGTTTTAATACTCGAATCGAGTTAACGATTTCTACACTATTCTAGATATCCATATTGCTGATCGTAAATATGTTCGTTTCAAAAGCAACACAAATGAACTGGATGCTACTAAAACTCGAGAAATGTTGAAGACGATCGAATCTACCATCAGCGAAACGAAAGGAGGATTATTAAAACAACAACGAATAAAACAGCATAATACAGCCGCACAATCTCAAAAGGAAAACGATAAAATCCAGTCAACCGATTTTGATAAAGAGAAATCGCCGGAAGAATGGAATCGGGAAGATATTCAGAAATGGTTTCATACTCACAATGTACCTGATACGTTGGTGAAATTATATGATTTCCAGTCCATGGCTGAAATCAATCAGTATGCTTTGAAACTACAAGCAGATCCGAAGAATGAATTTTTAAAATATGCTCGTCGTTATGCCAATGCTTATGGAGGTGATGAACTCGAAGAATATATTTTTGATCGATTTAAAAATTCTCTTCTCAAACTTCCTGTCAATAGACGTGAAACGTTAAGTTTACCAATGTCTTCTTCAACAACATTGAAATCAACTGCGTGTATTCTTCTCTGACTACAATTCTACTCACAAATACTTAAAAGAATATGAAAATTTAATCGTAGTGTATTTAGTTTCCTTAGCTTTTTTGATCATAATAGAGCTGAGTGTGTAAAAAAGAAACAGATTATGTTATTATCCATTATCTTGTTTTTCTATACTCCAGCTTCTCTCATTTCTAGAACATCACTTTCCAATGAAATAGAAGACATTCATACATTGCCATCAATGCTAGTATATTAAAGGTCGCAGCATTTTCCTTCCCAACTTTATGAATGCTTGTTGAAGAAAATATTTTCCTTAAGATGATGTCCGAGATAAATAAAGACCGCTATTCGAACTATTCTTTACCTTTGATGAATATTCTTAATTGTACCAAAACCAAAGACAAACATGAGTTCATGTCACTTGGGAGAAAGAAGAACCTATTTCCTTCCCTATTTTACCACATAATTATTGAAAGACTGTATTTATAGATGCATTGAACAATGTCAGAAAACTAACCAAATACATTACTTTTCTTTATAAATTCCTATTTGAAATTCAAGGAACCGAAGAGCCAAATCTATGATTAATGTAATCTGAAGTATAATATTACAAATACAAGAAGTCGAATTTAATTCTTCACTGTAAAAAAACAACAGATCACGTGCTGCAAATTATCATTTTCTTCTTTGGGAACTTTCATTGTAGATTACTGAATTACTCATTTCTAGCATTACGCATTTGAGCGAATCCATGAGATATGATTTACTTTGAAATTAATACGCTTAATACCACGATAACTCGCACCGAAAGTTAAACAAATCATGGGCGTGATCATCCTTCTTTTACATATGAAATTGATAAACTGATTCTTTGCGAAATACAAAGAAATCTTTTCAGTTCATATCATAGATGAAAATTTGTTGTATTCTCAATCAAATGAATATTTATGCTTTTAGTTTGAACCAGATGTAAGTTGATTCGAAGAATAATAAGAAGTGAAACAGATGAAAATTTCAAACAAAGCATAAATATGTAATATATTTTCTCCTGTTCTCTCAGTCTCACCTTGAATGTCTCATCAGACTAATTTCAAACCATTCATCGTAAGTTCTGCTTTACACAAGTAATTACCTTTTTTTTCTTTCTTTCTTTAACCTTCGGTTTTGACACTTCGTTCTATCGACGACAAAAAAAGTCTTTCTCCTTGTACAACTGAAGTCAATGTCATTACTCGAAAGATGAATAAACATCAGACGGGTAAATTTCCGTTGGCTCTTTTGTTTATCGCTCGTTTTTTCTGTATAATACATTTGGCTATATCGATATATATGATTTATTTAACAAAACCAACTCGAAAATTGTATTTTATTCCAATAATTGGTTTAGTTTGTCTTATTTTCGAAAAAATATTCTTTATTTTTTTAAAATTTCGTTACAAAAATTCGTTTATATTTTTATTAATCTATTCAATATTTATCATTTCATCAATTTGGTTCTTTGAACTATATCGAATTAAAACTTTAATAAATCGCCATGAAACTCAATCAAGTGTTGAAGTCTTTTCAATTATCTATTATGCACCATTAAAATCACTTGATAATTTTTATTTTCAAAACAAATTTTTATGGTCACAAATTCAAATTCAACTTTATCTTTTTCTCATGACAATATTAAAAGGTTTATGTGAAAGAAAGAATCCTCGATTGATCATTTTAATGAAAACATGGACAACAGCACTGGATTTATTAGATTTTTTAGATTTACTTAATCATTGGAAATTTTATTCTGATCTTCGTTTTGTTTATACAATTCTTTCCATTTGGTCAATTAGTTGTTTGCAATTTCTCATTCAAATGTCTTCTTTACAAAAAATTTTATTTCAAAAAGATTTTCCTCGTTTAGGATTAATAATGACGGATTCGTTTTTAGTGATTCTGACCACCGATATTCCTTATTTAATTGTACGTCTTTATGCAATATTTGGTATTCGAAATCATGATTATACAAGTTATTTTCTTGTTTTCAAAAATCTCGTCTCAATCCTCTTTCAAATAGCTGATATTTCGAAGGCATTTCATCGAAAGAAATCGAAGAAAAAGATCAGTTTAACAAATTCTCCTTGATTTCATTCTTCTTCTTCTTCTTATCTCATTTGTCAGAACAATCTGATTTAAATTCAAATACAAACGAACATTCAACTGTTTGTTATAACTTGAAGATATAAAATGTAAAAGGAAAAACTTTTTAATAAAATCTACAAAATGATTAAATCATGTGTAAGTGTACTTAATGAATTCTTTTCAGATTCGATTGTATCAATTGGAATATCCAACCAAATCAAATCAATATCTTTGGATTCCACCGATGAATTCTCGTTTAATTTGGAGAATCGTCGACTGAAAAGAAAAAAAGATCTAAAAGAAAGCAAAAGTTCTGTAAATCTTTCAATAAATTCGACTTACAGATTAAATATTAGAGAAATCATTGAAAGTCCGACAGCAATGAGAAAAGTTAAATAAGGTAAATTGTCAACAGTCAATTGATAAATCCAATTGAATAACGAATTTCCAAATAACGAACAAATTGTATCGATAATTGCAAGAAATGTAAACAAACAATGAAATTGATTTGGTTGAAATGATTTTGATATGAGTGACCACGTTAACGAACTTTGATACTCAACAAATGGAAAAATTAATAAACTCAAATATAAATGCCAATTTTCTCGAGCAAAAACAAAGTTAAGCGCCAAACAAATCAAACAAATCTGACTTAAACAACAAATAAGTGAATCACAAAGAGAAAATCGTGTTAAGATTTTCATTCCAATAACACTGAACACTGCAGTTACAATTGCTGATAAAGCATTGAAATTTCCAATTTGTATCGATGACCAATTAAACGGAAAATCAAGTAAATACCAAAGAAAATTTGACCAAAGTGCAGAATTCGCAAACGAATAGAAAATATACGCAAAAAATATCAAGAAAACATTCCAACAGCTCGATTTCGAGTAACATAAGTTCAATTTCGACCAAAAGGATTCTTTGATTCGAATATCATTATAAAATTCAACTGGTAAGAGAGTTTGTGAACGAGGAGATGATTTAAAACATAAAATAATGATGATAATCGAGATTATTTGTGAGATTAATGAAAGATAAACTAAATTAATGAAAGAATATGAAGATAAATAATAACCAATAAGAAAATCTCCAATAGATGTGACGAATGTCTTCAATGCATCAAGAAAAACAAAATAAATCGAACGATCCGTTTCTTTTGTTAAATCTGTCACAAATAAATTCAATGTTAAATCTGAAACAAAGTCAAATTTGATCTTTAAAATCCAATGAAACCGAAATTCTCTTACGAAAAATCGGTTGTGAACCAGTTAAACCGAGAATAAACGACGAAATGAACCACCAATATTCTTCTAATTGATACGAAATGATAAATAACCAAAGAAAAAACTGAATTGAATTTCCAATTAAAAATAAAATCAAAACAAATCTTCGTCCAACTTTGTTCATATGAAAACCCAATAAACAAGTAATAATAATCGTTGGAATACAACTAAACAAATCTTTTTTCCAAAACAATTCAGCTGATTGTTCTTGTGCCCAAAGATTGTCGTCATTCACACTTTCATTTTGTGTTTTATTTAAATAAAATGAATAAATATATTGGCCAAGTGATGAGACAACACAATTTGATAAACTTTCAAGACAAACTATACTCGATATTGCATAAATATTCACGCTTGACAACATTACTTAACGAAGAAATGAAAAAGTACATTCATCATCGTTGAGTTTCTTTTTCTTTGCTGTACAAAACACATGTGAATCATCAATATGAAAAAGTACATTTTTCTCTCCATCATACACAAATGTCTATTTATGATACAGAATTGATTATCTGATCCTTTGTCATTTGGATCTTTTCTTCTGTGCCGAATTGTGATTGGACGATAAAAATAGAGATGAATGGAACGCAAAAGAATGCCGAAGAGACATTCTTTTTTCTGTTTGTGACCTAGTTCACAAGAAGAGAAAAACAAACGATCAGTTAAGAATGGGAAAACTAGATGGAAAAATCGCTTTGATTACTGGAGGATCAGAAGGTATTGGCTTTGCAACAGCTGAACGTTTTATTCTTGAAGGTATTGAACATGTTTTCATAACTGGACGAAGACAAGAAAAACTCGATGAAGCTGTGAAGAAAATTCAATCCAATCGAATAACGGCTGTTCAAGGCGATGCATCAGATCTGAATCATCTCGATCGATTAATCGATATTATTCGTGAGACAAAAGGACGATTAGATATTATATTTGCCAATGCAGCAAGTTGTTCATTTGCTCGATTTGGTACAATTACTGAAAAGCATTTTGATGAAACATTTAATGTCAATGTCAAAGGTGTTTTCTTTACAATTCAAAAAGCATTGCCAATTCTAGTTAATCGATCTTCAATTATTATTAATGGATCAAATTCTTCGAATAAAGGAGATCCAGATTTAACTGTTTATTGTGCAACAAAAGCTGCTTTACGTTCATTTGCTCGTTGTATGACAGTCGATTTAAAAGAACGGCAAATTCGTGTTAATACACTGAGTCCAGGAGCAATTGATACACCTCTTCTTAGATCGATGGGAAATACGCAAGATGAAGTCGAAAATAATCTTAAAATGTGGACAGAAGCAACACCGATGAATCGTCTTGGAACACCAGATGAAGTTGCAAAAGCTGTAGTGTTTCTTGCTTCCGATGATAGTTCATATATAACGGGAATTGAATTATTTGTTGATGGCGGTTTATCCCAAATTTAATCCATATCTTTTATTTTCATTAGAATTAGAATTAGAATTGTTTAGGAAAAAAAAAACTACCCTTCATTCATTAACCTAATAAAAAGATCATTGGCGATATTCTTGAACTTTCACGTTCTGAAGATTTCTTTTTAGGTTATTGCGGATATTTTCCACGTAGTTATGTTGACGAGTATAAAAACGATACATTCTACATTTGAATTAACCCCTTGATTTTTCTCAGAACTTTTTACTCATCAAACCAGTTGGTGTGATAATCGTTTAAGAGAAAATATGGAAAGCGTAGCAGAGACACAAATCAAAGAAATCTATTGATTTGAAATGTACCATTCAGAAAGTATCCGTTGTAACGCTATTTCAGATACGTTTAGTATCGGAAACAATGTTCTATAGCGAATATGCAAAAACAACTTTGTTCAAAAATCGAGTAATCATCATGAAATTTTATTCTCTTCTGAAAACGTTATTTCTATCTCAACTAAATTAAGATTTACTTTTGTTAGGTTTCTTTAATTAGTACTTCTGCAATAGTTGATATTGATCGATTTACGTCACCGCTACACTTATATTTGGTAGAACTAGATACCTATCATGGTATTATGTTCATTTTTCTAAATCGTTCTTTATTTTTCGTGACACAACATAAATAAGAGTTCTTTCAATATAAAATCAAAATTTGATTTAGCGCTGTGGGTTAGGCTTATTAGTTCTTCGATATATAAAGATCTCTTTCATGATAATGTCCAATTTTTTGTTGAAACAGGATGAGAAAGAAGCGACAATATAAAAGTAAATCTTTACTCATCGGATCTTGGTAATTTGTAATCTCTAAACATTTAATCCAGTTCGAACGTACAGTTTCACCATAGTAAGTATTCATCGCAATATCTCAATCACCAATCGGAAATTACATTTTGCTATTTCTCTAAGGCACTATGTGCATTCTGTAAATTTTGTTAAGTAACTGATAGATTCTCAAGCTTATAATATACTTCTCCACATTGTATATATGCTTCGATAATCAAAGGTGATCTTGTCATTAGTTGTGGTATATTATATTAATGATAGTTTGAGGCGATTCAAACACTGCACACCAATTATGTTGATATTCATAAAATAAGGATTAGTATAAAATACACTTCAGTATGACTTACATTGTCAGAAATAATGACAAGACCTTCTCGCGTGGGCTGGATTATAATCCCCTCTTTTCTGAGCTTCCAGAGTGCTATAAGTGTAGAGAGAAATCCGACTGCCATTATTTTCAATCGTGTTTGTATCTGTCAGCTTTGTAAAGTTCTAGTCTTTCAGGGAATAAGCTCAATGATTTCACAGATTGAAAGTTTCCAGGTGTGTATCATTCCTNATCATTGAATAGTAATTCAAATATGTGGATAGTTGCTGCTGGTACAGATTGTTCTGGATCAACATCAAACACACTTAATGGTCCTCGTGGTATATTTGTTGACACAAATCTCAATTTATATGTTACTGACTGTTTTAATAATCGAGTTCAATTATTTCAATCACAACAACTCAATGGAATAACAGTAGCAGGAACTGGAGCATCTGGAACTATTAGTCTTAGTTGTCCTTCTGGAATTGTACTTGATGCAGAAGGATATCTCTTTGTTACAGACTGTGGAAATCATCGTGTTGTTGGCTCGGGACCAAATGGATACCGTTGTTTAGTTGGATGTTCAAGTGTTATAGGTTTAGCATCCAATCAGTTATATTATCCAACCACAATGTATTTTGATAATCATGGAAATATGATTGTAGCTGATGATTGGAATCATCGAATTCAAAAATTTCTTATAACAAATATTTCTTCAGGTGAGTGTAACAGTAAAATCTTTTCCTATCATTTCATAAACTAGATAAAACATCCTTATGAAAAGTACAGATTCATAAATTTAGTTCTTAGATATGAGTCACCTAAAAAGAGATGACAATAGAATCATTAACCAAATCAGTCTATTCAGTTTTTTTTTATTTGAAAACTTTAATTATTATAAATAGAACGATAGAGTTGCATGGATTGAGCATATTTTTGACTGAATTTAGCTTTGAGAATATGACTCCACAAAGTATTTAGTAAGTCTATTTATAAATTAAGTCAAGGTTTAGAAGCTAACCCAGTCAGAACTTGTTACAATCGCACTTAATCCACGAAGTACTGTTATCTTCAAGGTAGAACGAATCGAAGAATTTTAATAAATATTTCGGTTCACTAAACTTCGGAAGAGTTTCATCTTTTTCTGCTTATTAGATTTCGTTACTAATCAACCAAACTTATGTCCATCTACAACATGGTATACAGATGCGATTACATTTGCTAATAGCAGTACGGTTGGTACAAGTCCATTTACAGTTTTTGTTACAACCAATAATACTATCTATGTAGCTAATAAACAAAATAGTCAGGTATTAATCTGGTCCGAAGGAAGTATAAATCCAAATAGAGTTATTTCTACTGGTCTGAACACGACATATAGTGTTTTCGTTACTCCCAACGGTGATATATATGTTGATAATGGCTATAGTAATCATAGAGTCGATAAATGGACATTTAACTCCAATACAAGTATTCTTTCAATGTCAATCGTTAGTTCATGTTATGCGATGTTTGTAGATTCTAGTAATACTCTCTATTGTTCATTAAATCTTAATCATCAAGTTGTGAAGAAATGGTTAAATGATAATGTCACTACTTCCACTATAGTTGCTGGCACAGGAGTTGCTGGATCATCTGCAAATATGTTGACCTATCCCACCGGAATCTTTGTTGATATTAAATTTAACTTGTATGTTGCAGATTGTAGTAACAATAGAATTCAAATGTTTGCATTGGGACAAACTAATGGAACTACATTGGTTGGAAATAATGCACCAGGAACCCCCACATTAAATTGTCCATATGGTGTTATACTTGATGCGAATGGATATCTTTTTATTGTTGATGATCATAATCATCGAATACTTGGATTAGGACCATATGGTTATCGATGTTTATTCGGATGTACTAGTGTTCCTGGTTCTGCATTAAATCAATTAAATTACCCAACAGCCATAAGTTTCGATAGTTATGGAAATCTTTATGTTTCCGACAGTTCGAATAGTCGAATCGTTAAATTGCTTCTGGCATCAAATTCATGTAGTAAGTCAATTTCGATAATTTTATTTTCTTCTTTAAAATATTATTCATTGATTTATTTAAGATTTATCTTATAATCAACCAACAATTTGTTCAAACGCAATATGGTCACCAAACGGCGTTACTTTTGCTTCGAGTGGGACAATTGGTACAATACCTAATGGTATTTTTATTGATGGAATTAATAATGTTTATGTAATTAATCAAGTCAATAATACTATTTTAAAATGGTCGCAATGGAATAGTTCAGCATCAATTCTCACTTATATTAATGTATCAAATCCACATAGTGTGTTCGTTTCTATTACTGGTGATATTTATGTGGATAATGGTTATTTATATGGCCGAATTGATAAATATTTCTTTAATACATCAAATTTTATTACAGTTATGAATGTAAATGGAAGTTGTATTGGCTTATTCATTGATATTAATAATAATCTCTATTGTTCTATTCAAAATCAACATCAAGTTACTAAACTTTTACTTAATAATGGTACAACTATCCCATCAATTGTAGTAGGAAATGGTTCTGCTGGATCAACATCAAATATGTTAAATTCTCCTCAAGGAATNTAACAATGGGAAAACTAGATGGAAAAATCGCTTTGATTACTGGAGGATCAGAAGGTATTGGCTTTGCAACAGCTGAACGTTTTATTCTTGAAGGTATTGAACATGTTTTCATAACTGGACGAAGACAAGAAAAACTCGATGAAGCGGTGAAGAAAATTCAATCCAATCGAATAACGGCTGTTCAAGGCGATGCATCAGATCTGAATCATCTCGATCGATTAATCGATATTATTCGTGAGACAAAAGGACGATTAGATATCATATTTGCCAATGCAGCAAGTTGTTCATTTGCTCGATTTGGTACAATTACTGAGAAGCATTTTGATGAAACATTTAATGTCAATGTTAAAGGTGTTTTATTTACAATTCAAAAAGCATTACCAATTCTAGTTAATCGATCTTCGATTATTATCAACGGATCGAATTCTTCGAATAAAGGAGATCCAGATTTAACTGTTTATTGTGCGACAAAAGCTGCTTTACGTTCATTTGCTCGCTGTATGACGGTCGATTTAAAAGAACGGCAAATTCGTGTTAATACACTGAGTCCAGGAGCAATTGATACACCTCTTCTGAGATCGATGGGAAATACACAAGATGAAGTCGAAAATAATCTTAAAATGTGGACAGAAGCAATACCGATGAATCGTCTTGGAACGCCAGATGAAGTTGCAAAAGCTGTAGTGTTTCTTGCTTCCGACGATAGTTCCTATATAACAGGAATTGAATTATTTGTTGATGGCGGTTTATCCCAAATTTAATTCATATCTTTTATTTTCATTGGAATTGGAATTGTTTCGGAAAAAAACACTACCCTTTGTTCGTTAACCTAATAAAAGGATCATTGACGATATTCTTGAACTTTCACGCTCTGAAGATTTCTTTTTGGATTACTGCGGATATTTTCCACGTAGTTATGTTGACGATTATAAAAACGACACATTCTACATTGTTTTGTTTGTTATGATAAACATCATTTGAATTAACCCGTTGCTTTTTCTCAGGACTTCTTACTCATCAAACCAGTTGGTGTGGTAATCGTTTAAGAGAAAATATGGAAAGCATAGCAGAGACACGAATCAAAGAAATCTATTGCTTTGGATTGTACCATTCAGAAAGTATTCGTTGTAACGCTATTTCAGATACATTTAGTATCGGAAACAATGTTCTAGAGCGAATATACAAAAACAACTTTGTTCAAAAATCGAGTAATCCTCATGAAATCTTATTCTCTTCTGAAAACGTTATTTCTATCTCGACTAAATTAAGATTTACTTTTGTTAGACAGTTATACAAAAAGTTCAAATGAATGCTTTCTATGTCTTATATTGTAAATCAATAGGTTTCTTTAATTAGTACTTCTGCAATAGTTGATATTGATCGATTTACGTCACCGCTACACTTATATTTGGTAGAACTAGATACCTATCATGGTATTATGTTCATTTCTCTAAATCATTCTTTATTTTTCGTGACACATCATAAATAAGAGTTCTTTCAATATAAAATCAAAATTTGATTTAGCGCTGTGGGCTATAGGCTTATTAGTTCTTCGATGTATAAAGATCTCTTTCATGATAATGTCCAGTTTTTTGTTGAAGCAGAATGAGAAAGAAGCGACAATATAAAAGTAAATCTTTACTCAACGGATCTTGGTAATTTGTAATCTCCAAACATTTAATCCAGTTCGAACGTACAGTTTCATCATAGTAAGTATTAATCGCAATATCTCAATCACCAATCGGAAAATACCTTTTGCTATTTCTCAAAGGCACTATGTGCATTCTGTAAATTTTGTGAAGTAACTGATAGATTCTCAAGCTTATAATATACCTCTCCACATTGTATATATGGTTCGATAATCAAAGGTGATCTTGTCATTAGTTGTGGCATATTATATTAATGATAGTTTGAGGCGATTCAAACACTGCACACCAATTATGTTGATATTGATAAATAAGGATTAGTATAAAATACAATTCAGTATGACTTACATTGTCAGAAATAATGGCAGGACCTTCTCGTGTGGGCTGGATTATAATTCCCTCTTTTCTGAGCTTCCAGAGTGCTGTAAGTACAGAGAGAAATCCGACTGTCATTATTTTCAATCGTGTTTGTATCTATCATAGAGCTTTAATTCAATCATACTTGATTGATTCTTATTTGTAAAGTTCTAGTCTTTCAGGGAATAAGCTCAATGATTTCACAGATTGAAAGTTTCCAGGTGTGTATCATTCCTATGAAATCAGTGCAGCAGATCAACAATTTTCATATTTATAGTCTTCAATTCTGATCAATCTTTGGTTCCTCTGTAAACTGCTGTATAGTTAGAGTAAGCAAAACTGTTACCGAAGGTCAAAGACTACTTATGAATTTATGTTTCATATTTTGAAGAATGCACTTGTGACATTCATATACGTAAACATCTAGATATAAAAGAAATTAAATAATTAGATTCGATGTGAAGGTGAATCATTTCTTTATGTTTCTAGTTGGTTTTATTGGGGAAATTTTATTTTAAGAAAGAAAACAGAATCAGAGTGGTACAGATGAGAAGGAATGTTTAGAAATATCAATGATATTTTAATCTAAATGTAAAGTGAAAGAAAATGCACGATTATTTATTTGAAACAAAGAAAAAATAGTCAAATGTCTTTTTTTTTATTAAAATTTCTTCTGAAAACAGAAGAATATTGTTTTTTTTCTTTCTCGCTCAATATTTTGTTTTCTTATTAGTTAAAAGTCTTTCTTATGTTATCTCAACATCAATTCTTTTATCTAATACCTTGAAATCTTTCATAAACATGATCCGAATCAGCGATCTTCGCAGGGCAAATACAATATAGAATTATGTTTATACAGTTTGCATTTTGTACAATATAAACGATACATTTCAATAAATATACATGACGCGAATGAATATTACTAATTTTATTAAGTTTATCTTATAAAAAAACACCAAAATAAATGTATTATAGTATTATTCGTTTTCAGTTCATTGTTCTATTTGTATTAAAGCTTGTTTCCAGAGTAAGTTCATTAAACAACTTGATGTGTTCAGATTGATTATTTAACGTTAAAATTGGAATCAAGAAAATGTTGGTTTATTCAATAATCCATTTTGAGAAGAACAGTCGTTTATTTGATTCTTTTACAAAATAAGTTTTTTTTTTCTGCACATAAGGATTTCATTTCTTAGAGTAGTAGAAAGAATAAGACTAATTAAATAGATGTAGAAACGAATGACAATTTTGTGTATTTATTTGCTTTTTTTTTTATCTTAGAAGAGCTCCATCAATTTCTTTTTCTAAAGATTAATATGATTTTATCTAAAATTTATCTTATCATAAAAGATCCTTTTAATCAACTATCAGTGTAATAGATTATAGAGAAAGTTTAGAAATTCAGAAACAGAATAAAAGTCTCCATGCCTCAAAAGTTATAATCAATAAATTAAAAAACCATTTACATGAAATATGATTTTGTAAAAGACGCAATAATACCTTGACAAAAAAAAGAATCATTTTTCTAATTGTACAAAGAAACAGCATTCTAAAATATAAGCCGTAATTATACGAAAGTGTATAGAACAAACGTTTTCTCTATTAGTATATTAAAAACAAGTCATATTTCATATATTTTCAATTGATGTTATTTCTGCATAGTTATAGGCAACATTCCCAATGTTCTTTTCTACTAGTAGTTAAAATAAAAGTATTTTTTCCTTCGTTATCAAGAAAATGTAGATTTGCGAAAGAGAAAGTTATTTATAAATAAAGAATTGTTCATTTAACAGTTTTTTTTTCATTTCGAAGAAACATCGTGAAATGTCGAATTCTCTTTCTTTCAGACAAATATCAAGTTTTGAATCAATTGACATATTTTATAAAATATCGGATAAGTTGGATTGGAATAATCAATCACTTAAACAAAATTCTATTTAATAAATTTGAAGAATATCTAAATGAATACTTCCATATTTGTTCCAATAATCCCACTTAGTAATGTTATTTGAAATATCTTTTAGATATAAAAAATGATTTCATTTGTTTTTTACAATATATGGTCATTACTAATGATTATTGAACAAATATCAGGTAAAGATGTAATAAACTTGACTATGTATGTGAGAATGTCTATAAACTTTGACATTCACTTCTCATCAGATTCAACAATTGAATTTCATTATTAAAAAAGTGAAGATAGTTCTTACTATCAATCTAATATAATATATAACTATAATTTCTTGATTTTTCTTAGGCATTTCATACAATTTACCAAAACTTTGTGCAAATGCAACGTGGAATCCATCAGCAATAACTTTTGCCAATAGCATCACGGTTGGCAATTATCCTCATGGTATTTTTGTTAATACAATTAACAATGTTTATGTAGCTGATCATATGAATGGACGCATCCTAATATGGCTTAACGATAGTACCATACCGACAAAGATTCTATCAGGTGGTTTAAATTCTCCTACTGGTATATTTTCAAGAGAAAATGGTGATATTTATATTGATAATGGTTATGTAAATTATCGCATTGATAAATGGGGATCAAATTCGACAAGTAGTGTTCCAGCAATGTATACATGTTCATTTTGTACTGGTGTTTTTGTGGACATAAATGATATGCTATATTGTGCAATGTTTAACTATCATCAAGTTATCTCGAAATCATTAAATCAATATTTAAATATTTGGAGTACTGTTGCTGGTAAAAGTAATGTTTCTGGATCAACATCGACTACATTGAATAATCCTTGTGGAATTTTTGTCGATCTTTATTTGAATTTGTATGTTGCCGATTTTTTAAATAATCGAATTCAAAAATTTTCATCAGGACAACTAAATGGAACAACAATATCTACAGGAAGTTTTATTCTCGATCATCCAAGTTCAGTTATCCTCGATGCTGATGGATATTTCTTTATTGTTGATATGTATAATCATCGAATTGTTGGTTCAGGATTATATGGATTTCGATGTATAGCAGCGTGTTCCGGATCTGGTTCTTCATCTACTCAATTGTATTTTCCACAAGCTCTTAGTTTTGATAGTTATGGGAATATATTTCTTAGTGATCAAGGAAATCATAGAATTCAAAAGTTCTTGGTAACAAATACATGTAGTAAGTCAAATTTCATATTATCAAATAAACAATGATATATCACTATTGATGTGTTGCTTTTAAAATTCTGAAATTCATGATAACGTACAATAAATTATATAGACAGATATTTAACTCTTTGACATAAGAAAATCTTTATAGTTAAAGAAGAGAAATCTTGACACTGTCATTGTAGTTTAATAATTCTAAAGATCTAACACAAACTTATTTTGATGATAGGTATGTCGACAACAACAACAACAATCTCTACTGGTATTTTAAAATATTTTCTTATTGACTTTTCTCTTACCATTTATTTTTATCTCTTTTCAATAGTAAATTCAACGATTAGTACTCAATCAACTCCTTTATCAACAATGGCTTCAGGAATAAATTTTACAGGTACATCATCTTCAACACGTATGTAATTATTTTATCAGACACAAGTAGAATTTTTTGGTTATTTGAATGTTTATAACAATCTTCAAAGGAGTACGAGAGAACAAATTAATTTCGACTACAAAGTTTTGTCTATGTGAAAAAAGTTGATTTTATTGAGATCATTTCGTCGAAAAATGGTTCATTCCATATAAAGACTTGTACATAAAAGATTATTTAACATTTAATTATGTATCCTGTATAAACCGAATGTTTAATCTGTGCATGAGAACTTTGTCCGATAGATCTATATCAACATCAAATTGATTTCAAGAGTAGCTTTATAGATGACAACAGAATATACGAAAAAGTGATTCCGTCACATTTGAATAAACTAAAAAGGCCTTTTTTTTACCTCCAACCAGTTTCAATGAACGAAATAACTGTAAAATTAATCCTTTTGGGAATAATTAACATTAACCCTTTCTTGCCTTTGGATAACCTTAATGGTTTTAGAGGAGAATTCCCACAGCAACATTACTCTTATGACCCCTGATATACGTAGAAAATGTTTAAACTAAATTTATTAGAAGCCATTTATTGAGCATGTGATACATAGGTTCTTGTTCGCCGATTCATGATAGTTACTCTTAAGGGTGATACAAGGATCCTCGTTAAATGCCCTCTAGTTCAGAAAAATCAAATTTTTATAAAGTGGGTGCTATAGCGCCCAGAGGGCAAGAAAGGATTAACAGCTCAGTTTTCTTAAGCTAAACTGTCAGAAACTTTCTCTTCCTCATGATGTATTATTCCAATATTAAAACAAAATCTATCGGAAACCTTTTTCGTCAGCAGTCGGAATAAACTTATTCTAATGTAACAGTTCTATATTTATCTATATCTTATTGATTTTCTAGCTATTAAAAAGATTCATGATAACGAAAAAATTAATATTCTTATAGATTTTTCGTACAATATGCCGAAATTGAATGCATATACGTCTTGGAGTGCTAATGGAATAACTATAGCAAACGGTACCATTCTCGGAACATATCCTTATGGTTTATTTGTCGATACCAAGAATACTATTTATTCAGTTGGATATTCTTTGAATCGTATTCTAGTGTTTACTGAAGGTAATAGTACACCAATAAGAAGTATTTCTGGCAATTTAAACTATCCATATACTGTTTTTGTTACAACCAATGGTGATATTTATGTCGATAATGGAAATTCAAGTAGTCGAGTCGATAAATGGTCCTTAAATACAACAAATAGCACTTCAGTAATGTATGTTAAAAGCAGTTGTTGGGGTCTTTTTATTGATATTGCTAATAATATTTATTGTTCAATGTATTATCTTAATCAAGTTGCTACAAAATCATTGAATAGTAATTCAAATATGTGGATAGTTGCTGCTGGTACAGATTGTTCTGGATCAACATCAAACACACTTAATGGTCCTCGTGGTATATTTGTTGACACAAATCTCAATTTATATGTTACTGACTGTTTTAATAATCGAGTTCAATTATTTCAATCACAACAACTCAATGGAATAACAGTAGCAGGAACTGGAGCATCTGGAACTATTAGTCTTAATTGTCCTTCTGGAATTGTTCTTGATGCAGATGGTTTTCTTTTCATTACAGATTGTGTAAATAATCGCATCGTTGCCTCAGGGCCAAATGGGTATCGTTGTTTGGTTGGATGTTCACGTGTTATAGGTTCAGCATCAAATCAACTGTATTATCCAACAACAATGTATTTTGATAATCATGGAAATATGATTGTTGCAGATGATTGGAATCATCGAATTCAAAAATTTCTTATAACAAGTATTTCTTCAGGTGAGTGTAAGAGTAAAATCTTTTACTATCATTTCATAAACTGGATAAAACATCCTTATGAAAAGTACAGATTCATGAATTTAGTTCTCAGATATGAGTCACCTAAAAAGAGACGCCAATAGAATCATTAATCAAATCAGTCTATTCAGTTTTTTTTTAATTTGAAAACTTTAATTATTATAAATAGAACGATAGATTTACATGGAGTGAGCATATTTTTGACTGAATTTAGCTTTGAGAATATGATTCCACAAAGCATTTAGTGGGTCTATTTATAAATTAAATCAAGGTTTAGAGGCTAAACCCAATCAGAACTTGTTACAATCGCACTTAATCCACGAAGTACTGTTATCTTCAAGATAGAACTAAGCGAAGAATTTTAACAAATATTTCGGTTCACTAAACTTCGGAAGAGTTTCATCTTTTTTTGCTTATTAGATTTCGTAACTAATCAACCAAACTTATGTCCATCTACAACATGGTATACAGATGCGATTATGTTTGCTAATTTCAGTACGGTTGGTGCAAATCGAAATACAGTTTTCGTTACAACCAATAATACTATCTATGTAGCTAATAAACAAAATAATCAGGTACTAATCTGGCTCGAAGGAAATATAAATCCAAATAGAATTATTTCTGCTGGTCTCATCATGCCATATAGTGTTTTCGTTACTCCCAACGGTGATATATATGTTGATAATAGCTATAGTAATTATAGAGTCGATAAATGGACATTTAACTCCAATACAAGTATTCCTTCAATGTCAGTTGTTAGTCCATGTTATGGGATGTTTGTAGATACTAGTAATACTCTCTATTGTTCATTAAATCTTAACCATCAAGTTGTGAAGAAGTGGTTAAATGATAATGTGACTACTTCCTCTATAGTTGCTGGTACGGGAGTTCTTGGATCAGCTGCAAATATGTTGTACTCTCCCGCTGGAATCTTTGTTGATAGTAAATTTAACTTGTATGTTGCAGATTGTGGTAACGCTAGAATTCAAATGTTTGCCTTGGGACAAGCTAATGCAACTACATTAGTTGGAAATGGTATATCAGGAAGTCCCACATTGAATTGTCCATATGGAGTTATACTTGATGCAAATGGATATCTCTTCATTGCTGATAGTTATAATAATCGAATACTCGGGTCAGGACCATATGGTTATCGATGTTTATTGGGATGCACTGGTGTTCCTGGTTCTGCATCAAATCAATTAAATCTTCCGAAAGCCATAAGTTTCGATAGTTATGGAAATCTTTATGTCTCCGACGGTTCGAATAATCGAGTCGTTAAACTTGTTCTCGCGTCAAATTCATGTAGTAAGTTAATACCAATGATTTTATTTTCTTTTTTCCATATTATCCATTTGTTTATTTTAGGTTTATCCTATAATCAACCAACAATTTGTTCAAATGCAACATGGTCAACAAATGCTACTACTTTTGCTTCGAGCGCCACAATTGGTACAACACCTAATAGTATTTTTATTGATGGAATTAATAATATTTATGTCATTAATCGAGTTAGCAATACTATTTTAAAATGGACGCAATGGAATAGCTCAGCAATAATTCTTACTTATATTAATGCAACGAATTCGTCTAGTATATTCGTTTCCATTACTGGTGATATTTATGTGGATAATGGTTATTTATATGGTCGAATTGATAAATATTTCTTTAATACATCAAATTTGATTACAGTTATGAATGTAAATGGAAGTTGTATTGGCTTATTCATTGATATTAATAATAATCTCTATTGTTCTATTCAAAATCAACATCAAGTTACTAAAATTTTACTTAATAATGGTACAACTATCCCATCAATTGTAGTAGGAAATGGTTCTGCTGGATTAACATCAAATATGTTAAATTCTCCTCAAGGAATTTATGTTGATACTAATTTAAACTTATATATAGCTGATGCTGGTAATAATCGTATTCAAATGGTTCAATCTGGCCAATCAGATGCAATTACACTTGTTGGAAATGGATCATCAGTTACTTTTACTCTTAATTATCCAACCGGGGTTATTTTGGATGCAAATGGTTATTTATTTATTGTTGATACTTATAATCATCGTATTATTGCTTCAAGTTCTTATGGTTTTCAATGTATCATAGGATGTTCAGGAAGTGGTGGTTCAGCTGCAAATCAATTATATTTTCCACGAAGTATGGCTTTTGATAGTTATGGAAATATTTATGTTCTTGATACAAATAATAGTCGAGTACAAAAATTTACTTTACAAAGCAACAATTGCAGTAAGTTATTTCATTATTGTATTTTAGGAAATATTATATTAAGTTTTCATTAACAATTATTTCATATATTGCTCATGTAATTTATATAATTGCATATGAGATAGAAAGAATACTAAATTATAAAATTCTACATCGATTAAGTCTACATATTGATTGACAAGCAACGTAATTTTTTTGTGATTTTATAACACATATTTTTTTTGGTGCTTTAGCTCTACTGACCACGAGTACCAGTAGTACTACATCAAGTAGCAGTAGTACTTCAACCACTAGTAGTACCTCGACGACCATCACGACAAGTAGCAGTAGCATTTCAACAACTAGTAGTACCTCAACAACCATCACGACAAGTAGCAGTAGCACTTCAACAACTAGTAGTACCTCAACAACCATCACGACAAGTAGCAGTAGCACTTCAACAACTAGTAGTACCTCGACGACCATCACGACAAGTAGCAGCAGCACTTCAACCACTAGTAGCACTTCGACGACCATCACGACGAGTAGTAGTAGTACTTCCACTACTAGTAGTACCTCAACGACCATCACGACGGGTAGCAGTAGTACTTCAACTACTAGTAGTACTTCGACGACCATCACGACGAGTGGCAGTAGTACTACCACAAGTAGCACTACGACAAGTAGCACTTCCTCAACTAGCAGTAGCAGTACGACAAGCAGCACTTCAAGTACTACTACGACAAGCAGATCCACAATAATTAGAAGTAGTAGTCCAAGTACCACTACAACTATCTCAATAAGCACTATCACTGAAAACACAACACAAACACAAGAAAGTATGTTAATCTTATTCATTCTTATAGATTTAATTATTGATTTTTCATAAATTCATGTAAATAGCACAGAGTTCAACGCCAGTAGTAACAACTAAAGAGTTATATACGAATAATAGTAAGAAAGAAAAGAAGTTAGTAAAAAAGAATAACATATCTTTGATTTCTTAGCCTGTTATTCACCAACAATAACATTAATACCTGGTGGATCATCTTTATCATCACCAATATCTTTTCGACGCAGTCAAGATTTTTCAATAAGTTCAATGATTGAATTTCATTGTGATATTTCACTTAAAAAAGTTCTAAAATGGACAATAAAAAATTGTAGTTCAACTGCTTGTTCATTTGATATTGAATTGAATGATAAAATTGAAACAACATATAGTGAAATTTATATTCCATCGCGAACTTTAGATTATGGAATATATCAATTAACATTAACTATAACAATGATTGATTTACCAGAATTAAAATCTTCATCTTCAGCATATGTTCGAATAACTCAATCAGGTATAACAGCAAATCCAGTTCAATTAGGAACATCAATGATAACAAGAGGTGATAATCAAGATCTTTTACTTGATCCTGGTTCATTTTCAATTGATCCTGATCAAGATTCATTTGATGCAACTGTAAATTCTATATTTTCATATACAATATATTTCTAATTACTTTCAATAATAAAATTTTAGAAATGGAAATATAAATATTATTGTCGAATCTATGGAGAATATAAATATCCAAATATTCAAGGAATATTATTAACAATTGATGATTTAACAAATGATCCTTATAATCCATCATGTTTATCAAATCGAACAGGATTAATATTTGGAAATTCTACTTTATCACCAAATTCCTCATTAACCATTCTTGCTGGTTCACTTCAATCAAATCGAACATATCAATTTATGATCTATATGGAAAATCGAAAAAATTCATCAATTCAAGCAACAGGTTATGTTTTTGTTACAATTCAAATAACTTATCCAAAATTAATTGCTATTGGGTAATTTATTCTTTTTTAAAGAAAAAAAAACAAATTCATCATAAAAATTCTTTTTTTTGTTATTAAAGTTGTGTTATATCAATAATGTGTATTCCAAATCTTGAATATCAACTTGTTAATCCAACAACACAAGTTGCTCTTTATACCCTTTGTATTGGAAATTGTATTAATCTTCAAAATATTCAATGGAATATTTATTATGGATTAAATAATTCAACATTATCTAATTATACTCAATGGATTTTATTTAATCAAACAAATTCACATGAGAATATTTGGTTTTTTGGTAAAAAAAATTATTTTTACGTATTACGGATATTCATTGAATTTTTCAGGTATGAAAACATGTAATTTTACAGCATCAAATCAATTATTTGTTGATAATCCACAAATAGAACTTTGGAGATTTGAAGTTGTTTATACATTTTTATCTGAAACAAGTACAAGTGCATTAAATTTTATTATAAATTATCCACCGTCAAATGGTTCATGTTCAATTAATCCTCCTAATGGTACTATATTAACTTTATTTACTATTCAATGTTCAAATTGGTTTGATACCGATGGTATTAAAGATTATTCATTATATCGTATGTTTAGATTTATATAATTCAATAGAAAAATATTCTTTTTCTTTTTCTCTTATAAAATAGTTTTAAAACGAAATCAATCTGAAAAATTAATGATTGGATATTCATCGGAAGAAAATTTTCAAGTTCGATTACCATTAAATATTAATAATCAAACATCATTAATTGAACTTATTCTTTATGTTCGAGATTCATTTGATGGTGTTACACAAGTTAATTTATCTTCTATTAATATGATTAATGATGATTTATTAAATCAAAATATTATTAATCAGTTAAATAATTCATCAAATAATAAATCAATTATTGAATTACTTTCAAGTGGAAATCAAAATGTTGTTTCACAAATAATTAGTTCATTTTCTCAATTATTTAATCAAATGAGTCAAGATTATTTAAATAAAATGATTTAAAGTAATGAAATTTTTATCGAAATTTGAATAAGAGAATAGTTGATTTGATAGGATACTACAACATTGAACTTCATAAAAAAAAGGGGAAATTA